CCCTTTAAAGAATATTTCTTTGCAATTCAATGTAAACGTCAGCTAATAGGAACTTATGTAAGCCATTAAGACTGCTTTGAAATCTTTCACTCTTTTACTCTCATAGTCAAACTTGCACAATGCCCTGGTTGGTTTTTACCTCCCAATTACCATACAGAGCCAATTACTTCTCTCCTCCATTGCTACTGTGCTAGCCAAGTCACCTTCATGTCTCACTTCTGTACCAGGTGAGCCTCCTAACTGCTCTCTCTGAACCAAGTCTGTCCTCTTCTCTCCCCCAACCCCCACTCTTCCCATGCTATAACCAGAGTGATTGTTCCAGTACCCAAATCTCATTGTGTCACCATATTCCCCTTCTTGCAGATCTCTTGCTCTTAGGCTAAAATTCAAAACCTTTCACTTCCCTGCAGCTTCATCTTGACCCTTGTGCCCCTATAGTGCCTCCCTTCCTTCCTGCATCCACATTTAATCTCCCAGCTTCACCCACCTGTCCCCTCCACACAACCTATGATCACAGTTCAAATGGCACTTCCTAGCGAGGTTTCCTTAGCATACCCCCAATCTAGGTCAGCTTTCTTTGTTTTAAATTTTTGTTAACCATATTTCTTTCCTTAAGAGCAATTATCTCCATTTGTAATTATACATTCATGAGTGTGATTAATTGATAATGATGCATCTTCCCTACTGGACTCTATAGATTCCATGAGAGCAGGGCAAGCCTGCTCGCAATCGTAGCTCCAGACCCTAGCACATAAACAGGTTCTCATGGAACAGTCTTCGAATGAATTTCAGGGAGGTAAACACTGGGTAGGAAATATAGGCAACTGTGAATCAAAGGTGGGTTTTTTTTTTTTTTTTTTTTTTTGTAGAGTCATCATCAGTGAGGCTAAGGAAAGTTATTCTCAAAACTTTGAGACAAGGTTACTGACAAAAATCAACATAGAATGGACAAGATTATCTATACACAGAATTTAGAGGGAAATGTTCTAATAGGTTGTTGGAATCACAAAGGAGAAACATAGTCGATTTTGGAACCTACAGATGTTGGGCAAAAGTCAGAGGTAGAGAGAGAAGAGCAGGGAACAGGCAGCCAAGGGCCAATATCTGGTTCTAATGCTATTGCTGGAGGTTGGTTTATAACATGGCCTGTCAGACCATATGAATGGGCACAATTAGAAGGACCCAGGGTGAGACAGGTCCCATCAAGCAATCATACAAGATGATTTGTGCATGCCAGGGATGGGGAGTTAGGTATGCAGCATGCTGGCAAAAGTGCATGGCATCTATGAAAGGAAAGTCAGTGTCAGACGTTCCCAGTCTCTCTTGGATGGTGGGTCAGTGCCCAGCTGCTCACACTTGACTGATAGCCCTGTCCTTGGAGATCATTCACACCCCAGTGCTCTGGTTTCAGGTTCCCCAAAGCAGCCTCTTTTCATAGACCGGCCTTACGTATCACCTTTCCTGCTATAGAGGGGAGAAAAAAGTGGCCAACTCTAGTAGGTTGAATAATGGTCCCCCAGCGATGTTCGCATCTTAATCCTTGGAATCAGTGGATATGTTACCTCATATAGCAAAAGGGATTTTGCAGATGGGATTAAAAAAGATCTTGAGATGGGGAGATTATCCTGCATTATCTAGATAAACCATGTATAATTACAAGGGGAGGCAGGAGCACAGAGCCAGAGGGTAGCTGCAGAAGTTGCAAAACTGCTGGCTTGAAGATAGATGAAGGGACCAAGAAATGAATTGGAGAAGGGAAAGAAACAGATTCTCCTCCTAGAGTCTCCAGAAGGAGACAGCACTACCCCACACGTTTTTTTGTTTTTTGTTTTTTCAGATTTTTTTAAAAGATTTATTTTAAATCTTTAAATAGAGATAGGGAAGAGAACAGGCAGATATACTGAAATACACTGCTGAGGGGAGCAGCAGGCAAGACAGGAGAGGTCTGCTGCGCCGTATGGATCAGCTCCCTGGCCCAGGATCAAACTTACACTGCAGTGGCTGCTGATAGCTTCATAGTGCTAAGACTTAACCCCTTGTGCCACCAGAAGGCCTATATCACCCCACACTTTGATTTTAGACTCGAAAAACTGATTTCAGAGTTCTAATATTCAGGGCTATAGAATAATGTGTGTTGTCTGCATTGCCACTAAGTTTGTGGTAACTTGTTACAGAAGCAATAGGGGTACAGGCTGGATTTCAACCCACTGCTCCCCCTCACCCCTGTACCCTCATGCAGGGCAGAGCCTGCTCCACCATGTGCAGAGGCTCACCACCTATCTTCTCTGCCAGCTGTGAGTTCGTTAAGGGTGTGCTGCCATTTGCTCATCTTTGTGTGGCCCTGGCACCTAAGCCTGGTCCCATAGTGACTCTGTAAAAGGTTTCATGAGCCAAAGTGATTGACTGCACCCAGGAGCCACAGGCAGGTCAACTCTACGCAGCAGCCCATCAAGTGCTGTGAATTGCAGAGTCCCTCAGAGCAGCACAGGCGGGACAAATAGTGTCATCTGTTCTGTTCTGCATGGATTATGGATATTTTAACATCTGCAACTGGGAGTTATTTAGAGCTGTGAGACTAAAATAGATAACTACTGCCGTCTGTTACTTCATTTTTTTCTTTTTAAACCTAAAAAAAATTCCTTCCCACTTTCCCAGAAGGTAAATATGTCTGAGGCTAGCTGTTACTAAGGCCACAGGAGAAATCACCTGAATTAAAGACCCTCTATGCATAACTTGCTCATCAGTGAAATGGGGACCCCCATCAGGCCCTCCTGGCTATTTCGGGAGACACAGTCAGCTGCAGCGACGGCTCCAGAGTAGTGTTTCAGGCTCCATGTTCATCTGTGGAGGCAAATATGGAAGGGTTGCAAGGTCTGGTTGCATTTCTCAAGAGTGTAGTTTCCACTGCTAAGTGAGAACGCTTTCATGTGTGACTTGCTTTCTTAACTTTAAAAGGTCGTTATGACTTTTCAAGTCAGGGCTATTTGTTAACTTTCCATCAATCCCAATCCAACAAAGGCCTTGGCCAGCTCTTCAGAAGATGGGGATCGAATTCCTATTTTGTCTTCTGTCAGTGAAGCAGTGACCAAACCATTAAGTTGATAAGTTAAGAGAAAGATATGTGGGAGGAAGACAAAATGTGCAAGTGTAAACTGGAAGATTAATTCACAAGTGGCAGGCAAAGAACTAGGGACTTTAGTAGTTGACATCTTATTTTCTTATTGTCATTAAAAATAACACTAGACGGGAATAAATAGTTCTATTCTCATACCCCTGATCGGCCTATCTATTGACTAAAGCTTATGTTGTATCTTTTTTATTGCTTGATACATATATTTAATCACAACAAAACTTCAGTGTAGTTATCATTAATCCTAACTTATCAATAATAGAACTGAGGTTCAGGGCCTCCCTGGTGGTGCAGGCGGTTGAGAGCAGTTCTGTGAAGCTGTCTGCAGCCTCTGCAATGCCGGTTCGATCCCTGCCGGCCTCAGAGCAACCCACATGGCAGGCCAGACCTCTCCTGTCTCGCCCGCTGCTCCCCTCAGCAGTGTATTTCGTCAGTCTGCCTGTTCTGTTCCCTCTCTGTCTCTGGTGAATCCTCTCACCCTCCCACGCATCTGGCCTGTACCCTGGCTCTTGTATAAATAAAAAATAAATCTTAAAAAAAAAAGTTTAAAAAAAAAAAAGAACTGAAGTTCAAAATTCATCACCCCAGTTCAGACCTTCAGACAACAAAACAAGTCCTGCCCGTAACTTGCTCTTCAGTGAGGTGGGGACCCCCATCTCACCTTTATCTTCTTTTTGCCGAGTTCGTTTTACTCCTTCTATACCTTGAGTATAAATGTTTTTGGGGGTATTTATGTTCCACATATGAGTCAAACTATCCAATATCTGTCTTCTGCTTATTTTTACTAACTTCACTCAACATAATTATCTTGAGGTTCATCTATTTTGAGTTCGTTTTAGTACTCATCATTACTTCCTTTTGTGCCCCATATTTTTTTTTAAAAAAAGACCCTTTTAACAGTAGTTTTAGGTAAACAGAAATATTGAGCAAAAGGTACAGAGATTTCCCAAATTCCTCCTGCTCCCACACATGTCCAGCCTCCCCCATTATTGACATCCACAAATATACCCAGAATGGTGTATTTGTTATGATGGATGAACCACACTGACAAATCATAATCTCTAAAAACCCACAGTTTACTTTAGGTGTTTTTTTTTTTTTTTTCCCTTCACTCTTAGTGTTATACTTTCTATGGGTTTAAGCAAGTTTGTAATGACATGTATCCAGGATAGTATAAAGTAGTTTCACTGTCCTCAAAATCTTCCTACTCCTCTTGTTCATCCTTCCTTTCTCACTAGTTCCTGGCAACTTCCAGTATTTTACTGTCTATGTAGTTTTACTTTTCCCAGAAAGTTTGTAAAGTTGAAATCCTGAAGTGCAACCTTTTCAAACCCATTTATTTCACTAGTAATGTGCATTTAAGTTTTCTCTACATACTTTCATGGCAAAATAACTCATTCCTTTACTACTAAATAATATTCTATTTTTTGGACATAAGACAGTCTATTTATCCATGCACCTACTAAAGGAGATCTTGGTTACTTCCAAGTTTTGGCAATTATGAATAAAACTTCCTTAAACATCCATGTGCAGGTTTTTGTGGACATAAATTTTCAACTGTTTGGGGTTAAATACCAAGAAGAGTGATTGCTGACTTGTATAAGAGTATAATTAGTTTGTAAGAAATCTCTACAGTCTCTTTCAAAGTGACTGTACTCCTTTGCATTCCCACCAGCAATGAATGAGAGTCCCTGATGCTCCATATCCTCTCCAGCATTTAGTATTATCATTGCTCTGGATTTTTATATATATATATATATATATATATATATATATATATATATATATATATATATTTAAGATTTATTTATTTATTTATTTTTATTTATTTATTTATTTATTTATTTATTTATTTATACAAGCACTGGGTACAGTCAGAAGCGCAGGAGGGTGAGAGAATTCACCAGAGCCAGAGCGGGGAGCAGAGCAGGCAGAAGAACCGAAGTACACTGCTGAGGGGAGCAGCGGGCAGCAGGAGAGGTCTGCGCACCATGTGGGACCCTCCTGCGGTGGCCGGGGAGCAGCCGGGGATCGAACCGGCGCTGCAGAGGCTGCGGGCAGCTTCACAACCCAGCGCTCAACCGCTGTGCCACCGGGGAGGCCCCCATTGCTCTGGATTTTAACCAAACAGGTAAGTAATGCTGTCTTGTTGTTACCCTACAAATGAAAACCTTCAGAGAATGAAACTTTAGTAATTACTACTAAAACTACCAAACCAGAATATGGTATAAATGTAATCCACCAATCTGATTGTTTCTTCCTGTTTCACTTCTCATTGTGTGTGCATGTATGTGTGTGCATATTTAGTTCTATATAATTTAGTCACATTGTAGGTTCATATATCCACTATCACAGTCAAGATGAAGAATAGTTACATTGCTGCCAGTATCCTTCTCAATTACCCTTTCATAAATACGCCTTCTTCCCTACTCCCTTCCTCCTACCACAGTCCCTAACCCCTTGTAACCACTAATCAGATTTCCATTTCCATAATTTTATCATTTCAAGAGTGTTATATAAATGGGCAAATGTATAATAGACATATCTCCAAAGATGTAAAATGGCCAAAAAACTCAGCCTTGTATACAGTGCTGGAGGGAAATGAAAACGATTCAGCTGCTTTAGAAAACAATATGGCAGATTCTCAAAAGATTAAGTTATATGGCCCAGGAATTCCATTCCAAGCTATATACCCAAGAGAAATTTAAACAGATGTTCACACAAAACTTTGTTTGTAATAATCAAAAACTGGAAATAACCCAAATGCCTAATAATGGGTTAATATATAAACAAATTGTGTTATATCCATATAATACAATGCTACCCCTCAGTAAAAAAGAATACTATTGATATATCAACTAACATGTATTCATTTCAAAATAATTATGCTGCATGAAAGAAGCTGGGTCAAAAGAGAAGTATATACATATTATATGATCTCATATATACAGTTTTGAAACAAACTAATCTATAGTTGCTTGGGAAATGTATAGGGGAGAAGGAGGTTGGGAGGAATGTATTATAAAGGGAAGTAATGGATATGTTCTGTATCTTGATTATGGTGGTGGTTTCACACTGTATACATAAGTCAAAGCTTATCAAATTGTTTACTTTTTTGCCTAGAAGATCTGGGGGGATAGGTCAGATCTGGGGGTGAGAGGATTCACCAGAGACAGAGTGGGGAGCAGAACCGGCGGATTTACTGAAATACACTGAGGGGAACAGCAGGGAAGACAGGAGAGGTCTGCTGTGCCATATGTGGTTTAGCTCCCTGGCTGGGTATTGAACTGAAGCTGTAGCAGTGATAGTGCTGAGACTTAACCCCTAGGCCACCAGGGAGGCCCCAAAATTGTATACTTTAAAACATATAAAATTTATTATTTTTCAAATTCTTCCTCTGTATCCTGGTAGCCTTCACGTATACTTGTTTTTGCCACTGCAGATCAGAATTTCTTTTCACTTACTACCATTTTAATTATTTTTTTCTGGAAAAGCAAGAATTATATGTCACAAGGTAAGTATTAGAGTATTGGTTTCATTTAATAATACCATCATAAATAGTCAGGTAACGTCAGCCATCTTTTTTTTTTTGACTTTTAAATTCTCTGAATTTTCTTCATTTTTTTGTCTCCAAAATGTCTACAACACAGAGGTATAGTTTTTCTGATCTTAAGGGATTATTTCTTAAATGATTCTACATTATCATTTCTTTAGGTTTTTATTTTGTTAAACAAACTTTTACATGAAAGTATAACAAGCAGACACAAAAGTGTACAAATCATAAGTGTACATCTTGATGAATCACAAAGTGAACACATTCATAAGACCTTGTTTTGAAAACAAGGGTCTCATTTCTCTAGGGTGGTATCTGGGTTGAACAATTCATTATGCACTGTCAAAGATAAACACAGCTGGACATTAGTTAAAGCACTGAGAACAGATTTATTCAGACAATAGGGGAAGGAGCTTGCCATTCCTATTTGTGTAGAGGAATAGAGAAGGGGAACTGCTGGAGCTTGAGCAGAGTCAGGGAAATGACAAAAGGGGTCTCTGTGAAACCCACCTGGCTTTGCTAAATGGTGGTTATCACAGTCAGGCTCTTAAGCTCCCACAGAGACTGGGAGGGAGGGGCTCTGTGTTCAAATGTTGATTGAAACAAACTGCAAATGCCTTTGGCAACCTTGAGTTTTCTCAGGCAGGCCCTTTAGGGGACTTGGGTCACCCTAGGGATGCAGCCTTGTGATGTTAGAATTTGTTAGCATTAGTTCAAGTTTGTGTGTGGTTTTTAAAAAAGATTTATTTATTTATGCATACAAGAACTGGGGCAGGGCCTCCCCGGTGGCGCAGCGGTTGAGCGCTGGGTTGCGAAGCTGCCCGCGGCCTCTGCGGCGCCGGTTCGATCCCCGGCTGCTTCCCGGCCACCGGCGGAGGATCCCACATGGCGCACAGACCTCTCCTGTCGCCCGCTGCTCCCCTCAGCAGTGTACTTCGGTCCTTCTGCCTGCTGTGCTCCCCGCTCTGGCTTTGGTGAATTCTCTCACCCTCCCGCGCTTCTGACTGTACCCAGTGCATGTATAAACAAAACAAACAAACAAACAAAATAAATAAATAAAACATGCCTCTATAAAAAAAAAAAAAAGAACTGGGGCAGCCAGATGTGCAGGAAGGTGAGAGGACCCACCAGAGATAGTGGGGAGCAGAACAGGCAGATCTACCGAAACACACCGCTGAGGGGAGCAGCAGGCAACACAGGAGAGGCCACAGCCCCTTGGCCAGCTGGGGATTGAATTTGTGCTGCAGTGGCTGGCGACAGCTTGACAGCACTGTCCCTAACCCCTGCCCCACAGGGAGGCCCCCATTCCTTCAAGTTTGTGTAGATAAGACTGGGACCAAGTTGAGAAGCAAGCTCAGAGGAGGCTGTGTAGAGTTTGGTCAAGGAGAGGACCTTTGTCAGCACAACTGTCCCACAGATTATAGGACTTTCAAAACCATCCTGGATCCTTTTCTACAACATGTCAGACTCCTTTCTCATGTTCCACATTGTGATAAGAAAAAAATAGCTCAATACCTGTCAAAATGCTCCATCCCAGGAAAACTACCCTACAAGGTACTATCTAGTGTGCCTTCCAGCTTTGAGACCCTACAGCAATGCCACTGGAGATTCTGTAGTTGTTTGAGGATGGAGTCAAAGAAATGGGCTGAAAAGAGCACACAAAAGTGTCTACAGGAGAGTGGAACACGCAGCAAGCTCTATTCTTTCTTCTGTCAAACTTCACAGGGAAAGCACACGCTCTTGCCTGAATCACTTTGTAGAAATTCTCCAGGGAGCCAGGCAAAGAAAAGGGCAGACCTGGCATTAAACTTTATTTATATGCACAGTTTAAACTCTCCTAGCTCGATTTTCTTACTTGTAAGGTAGATAATCCCTACTATTAAATGCACTGATATATACAAGACCGTCTAATAATAATGGTGAACTCTCCTCCCTCAGGGGCCAGATGGCCAGTTACTTCTTAGGGTCTCCTGACCCTGGTTTCATTTTCCAGACTTCTGATAGTGTTCTCTCTAGCTCAAAGCCAAGACCCACAAATAAAAACCTTCAGCGAATGAAACTTCAGCAGCAGACTGCTAAAACTACCATGCAAATCGTAATACATCAATTTAGCTATTTTTTTCCTAAGAGAAAATGGAAGTTTACACTCATTCATATAAAGTTTTCATTCAAACTTGTTGAAAGTTTACCCTGTGTCAAGCACTTGGGCTAAAACCCAAACAGTTTCTGCTCTGAAGGAACTCACAGATCATTGGCAAATCCAAAAAGTCAGGTAATTGTGACATGGGGTTAAATGCTACCACAGAGAGATAAAGAGCAAGATGGAGGGAGTAAAGGATGCCTGAAACTCTCCATGCAGAAGGTCACCTCTGAATGCTGGAGAAGAAAGAAAAGACCCCAAAAGCCTGGTGGCATTTAACAGTTTTCTTTTCAGTGAACTAAGGCAAGGGTACTGGTAAGAGGTAGAAGGTAAGGGAGACTGGAGTGGGGCAAAGGAAGTATGAGTCTGAAGTGATTTTTGTGTCAGGCAAGTTCTTAGCTGCAAATGACAGAGATTATGTAACCCAGATGACTTTCAAATAGAAAAGGGATTTATTGAAACATACTGGGTGGGAGGACTGTATATTTTATCATCTCTTTTTTGTGCCTGCACAGCTGTGTAAAGGAGATATGCATGAAGTCTATAATATTGCAGTGCTTCCAGAAGCTGGGGAGTTGAGAAAGGGCATGCTATCTGCAACAGCACCTGGGGGACAGCCCTGCCACCCAGTGGGCGTTAGGTACTCTATGAGGCCCTTGCCCCTGCTGCCCTGGAAACCAGGTGTTTCAGCCACCACCCAAAGCCACCCCACCAGCTTAGCAGAGGTAGTAGAGCTACCTCTGATGGGTAAAGCCGACTTCACACGCCTGCTGCCATATGAAGGGAGCCAGGAAAAGTAAATTTCTGATGCCATCACACTCCTTTATGCCAATTTGGGTACATGACTTAACTTCCTTGTCCCCCATTTCATCATGTATACAGTGACAGTAATAACACGATCCGCTGAGAGTTCCTAAAATGATCTATGTAAATTTCTTACAACTGAGCCAGCCTGAGAATATACATTATATATTTGCTATTATTATCATTATTCCTTGGGGAGGTGAGATTCAGAAGCTAAGAAATTCTCTCCAATAAAGGAAAAGCATTTTGAGAGGCCCAAAAGAAAGACAAATATCTACAACATCTTGATTGAGTGCCACAGAGTATTTAAAAAAATTATTTATGCTCTTCACTTCTTTCAATAAAAATCCTAATATCTATGGGACACAAGGCATGAATAATGCCTTATCTTTTTATTTGCATAAATCATATCAAAAACAGTTAATGTCCCATAAAACCAACCTATCAGAGTTGGCAAAAAGCACATTAACCTTCTATAGGGGGTAAGACTCCTTCCCCCTCCTTGGTATTAAACAAGGGCCCCATAATATTGTGGGGTCAGCTTACTGGCCAAATTTGTTTATGGTTGTTGCTGGTGGGAGGACCCCAGGCCTTCAGGGGCCACATGCATGTGAGAATCCCCTTGGACACTTAGCCCCTCAGCATCAAGCTCATCTTGGGGGGCCCTTACTGAACTCTGCATAATACTGGTCTTTGGAGGTGCCTGCTGAATGTGCATAGACAGCCATACCTCTGGGGGTAGGCGCTCTAGGGCTCTGCCTGCAGCACAGCCCAGACCTAGGGTCAAGCTCCTCTGGAACAGATAGCAACTGCCATTCTCCTGTCTGCTCCCTTCCCATACACCTGCTGCTGATCCTGTGGGTGGGGCAGGGGTGTGGTGGGGCTTGACAGAAGGGAAAGGGAGATGACAGAAAGGGAGCAGATGTTCCACCCCTGTAGGGTAAATGGTTTTCAGGCTTTTCTGCCCTCCCATCATTAAGATTGCCCTGCCGTTATTATATTGTTGAAAGCTGTGTTGTTTACTCTGTGGACCATGGCTCAGTATTGATATAGTCACCAAGAGAAGCAGAGGCAGGAGAAAGAACAGGAGAGAAAGAAGGGGAGAGAGAAGGCCAGAGAAGCCCAGAGTGAAGACTTGCCAGGGGCTGGGAGGCCTGCTGGCCTCCTGGCCCCCCAGCACCCCTTCCTGCCATGTACCTGTTTGCTGCACTACATGTAAAAGCTCAATGAAAGCCTGAGAAAGCCACCGAGGGCTCCAGGATTCCTCCTTTACCCGACTGGTCTGCATAGAATCATAGAAAACCTGTTCAGTGGCCTATCCTGCCACTACAACCCCCCACCCCTAAATGCCAGCTCTCCCTCTGTGCAGCTGCAAGAAGCATCCTGCTTCTAGAGAGAGCCCTAAACTGGGCTTGGCTGGAGAAATAGTACCTGTTGTCACTAAACATTCCCTTGAAGTCATGCTAGTTTAATAGCGAGCTGGTGCTGAAAAGGTGTTGGACCACATGGAAGTATCAGTGACATTTCTCTTGACCCAGTTGGAAATGGATTTGTTAAAGCAAAGCAGATAACTTCCTTTGTTTATTCTTCAGTGGGTTGAGACTTCTCAAATGACCAGTTAAGTTGTTAACTAGCCCCTGTGGGGTATGGATAGCCCAGATTTCAAGACTCAGGTCTGGCTCACCACTTGTCAAGGGAGGAAATGTGGTTCATTTCTTCATGGAATTATTTTGGAAAGAAAAAAAAAATGTTTTCTCAACAGGTTTTCCACATGTCTAATCACTTTGACTAGACTGTACTTACTCATATTGGTAAAGGGAGCTTTAAAGCATTTTGAGTAGGAACTAGATATGATTGTGTTTAACTTTCAGAATATCCATCCTGGTTCATACCACATCTTTTATTTTTAAATAAGCTTTTTAATTTTGAGAAAATTATAGATTTTCAAAGTTCTAGGAAATAAGAGAGATCCTACGAACCATTTTACTGGTTTCCCCATAGTAAAATCCTTCAAAAACTGTCAGACAATATCACAACCAGGATTCTGACTTGACGTGGTCAAGGTAATGAACATTTCCATCACCACTAGAATTCCAAATATTGCCCCCTTTTTAAAAAAAAAAAAAGATTTATTTATTTATGCATACAAGAACTGGGGTACAGGCCAGAGGTGGGTGGTGGGGTGAGCGGATTCACCAGAGACAGAGTGGGGAACAACAGAACAGGGGGATTGACTGAAACACACTGCTGAGGGGAGCAGCAGGCGAAGCAGGAGAGGTCTGCTGCACCATGTGGGTCGGCTTCCTGTCTGGCTGATAGCTTCATAGTGCTGCAACTTAACCACCTGAGCCACCAAGGAGGCCCCATCTGCCCTTTTAAAACCACACCCACTTTGCTACCCTACACTACATGCTTTAACCCTTGACAAATACTAATCTGTTCTCCATTTCTGTAATTTTGTCATTTCAAGAACATTATATAAATGGAATGATACAGATTCATACATGTAGGATTTTTTGCACTCACCATTCATCTAGGCTGTTGTATCAATAGTTCATTCCCTGGTTTTTGCAGAGTAATATTACTTGATAGGAATATGCCTCAGTTTGTTTAACTATTATTCACAGGTTCAGAGATATCTGGGCTGCTTCCAGTTTGGCTTTTATGAATAATGCTGGTACAGATATTCTTGTACAGGCTTTTGCATGAACATAAGTCCTCATTTCTCTAAATGCTCAGAATTACAAATACTGGGTCATATGGTAGTTGCATATTTAGTTTTTTTTTTAAGAAACTGCCCAACTGTTTCCAAGTGACTGAACCTCTTGCATTCCTGCCAACAATGTATGAGTGATTCAATTTTTCTATATCCTTGCCAGTATTTGATGTTGTTACTATTTACTTTTGCCGTGTCAATAGATATGTAGTAATATTCCATTATAGTTTTGAGATTTTATTTTCCCAGTGAAATTATTTTGAACATCTTTTCATGTGTTTATTTGCCATCTGCATAGCCCCTTCAGTGAAATGTCTCTTCATATCTTCTCCCCTGTTCTAATTGGAGTGTTTGGGTTTTTTTAAATGTTGAGTTTTGAGGTTCTTTAAATATCCTAGATACTACTCCTTTCTTTGTAACATGGTTTACAAATATTTTCTCCCACTCTGTAAATTGTCTTTTTATCCTCTTTACAGGGCCTTTCTCAGAACAAGTGTTTTTAATTTTGATTAAGTCCAAATTAATTATATTTTCTTTTATGGATCATGATTTTTGTGTCAAGTCTGAGCATTTTTTGATATAAACCTAGATTCAAAATTTTATACTTTTATGTTGGGAATTTCCTTCCTTTTCTATTTTTAGAAAGATTGTATAAATCAACATTAATTCTTATTAAATGTTCTGTAGAGTTCTCTAAGAAAACTATCTGGACCTGAAGATTTCATTTGAGGGAGTTTTTAAATTATACATTCAATTTTCTTAATAGTTATTGGGCTATTCAAATTATACATTGTGTCAGCTTTATTAATCTTTTCAAAGAAACAGCCCTTTGTTTCATGGATTTTTTTCTATTTTTTTGTTTCAATTTCATTGATATACGCTTTTATTATTTCCTTTCTTCTGATTATTTGGGCTTACTTTGCTTTTTTTCTAAGTGAAAGCTTAGATTTAAGACACTAAGCAGTAAGACACCTAATTTTTAACATTCAGTGTGTAAATTTCCCTCTCAGAATTTCTTTAGCTTTCAGAAATTTTGACATGTTGTATTTTTCACTATCATTTAACTCAATGTGTTTTGTGTTTGTTTTCTTCACAGTTTTCTTTTTGACCATAGATTACTTAGAAGTGGGAAAATATGCAAATACAGAAAGTGAATAATAAATTCTTTAAAAAAAAAAGATTTATTTATTTATGCATAGAAGAACCAGGGTACAGGCCAGAGGTGGGGGCAGTGAGAGGATTCACCAGAGACAGAGTGGGGAGTAGAACAGGCAGAGTGATTGAAATACGCTGTTGAGGGGAACAGCGGGTGAGCCAGAAGCTGTCTGCTGTGCCATGTGAGTAGCTCCCTGGCTGAGGATCGAACTTGTGCCACAGTGGCTGCAGATAGCTTCTTAGGTTGCGTCCCAACCCCCTGCGCCACCAGGGAGGCCCCAATAAATTCTAACCTATCAAAACTCTCCTGTTACATTTTCTCATATACAGCAGTGTCCATTACATTCAGAATTATATCATGTGACATCATCATAAAGAGAGATTTGCAAGTTCAGGCAAAAGGGGTAGGTTGCCACCTCATGTAGAAGATATGTTTGGGATCATTAATGATATGGTAAAATTTATTTGATTAGAGAGTAACAGTAACCCATTCAGATTATTTTGAAATTAAAAAAAGAAAAGAAAGAATAGGGGGGATTATTTAAATATTTAAAGGGATTCTTATAGACTTAACCCCAAATAGGAAGTACACTGGGAGTTCTGGCAAGCTGAAACCTGAAACCCAAGCAGATCCTATTCTCATCTAACTAATTAACTAACTATTGCTATGTCTTACATAAGGACTCTTATCTGTACATCTCTCTCATCTCCTCTCCACACACCAGTTTTCTGTTTTTCAGTGCATGAGGGAAAAGGTGGCCATCTGGTTCTCCAAGATCTGCCAAATCAAACACTGAAGAGTTCCTGTATCACCGTCACAAAGTTCTGGAAGAAAGACTCTGGCTTAGCCTATCTTGGGTGAGCCTCTGCTTGTCATCCATTCATTTGTAGCAAGTATGAACAGGGCCCTTTCCTCTGCTCACTGAAAGCTTTATAATCAAGCTCTCTGTGAAGGGGGTTTGCATGAGGATATAGGTATGGCATCAAAATGAATGGCAATGCTAACACAGTATGTGATCCCTGCTAAGCGATGATACCCACCATGTTTAGTCATGAGAAGGTTCACAGGGTCACTGGGAGGTATGCATCTGTCCCGATACAGATGTGGTAAAGGCCCACCAGTCACAGACATTTTCTACAAATAGAAACCATAACACAGAAAATACCTGGAACTTTTCACTAGAGACTTTAAAGATATGGATAAAAACTGTAAGACTTAGAAATTAAATGATGGGAACCTGGCAAAGGGTGGAGAGCCCTCAACACCTAGCACAATGCACAGAACACTGCAGTCTTTAGTAAATGTGTTGAATGAATGACAGGATCTCATAAAGACCTGGAAGAATGTGTTTGACAAGAGACCTGTCTTCAAATGACCTTCGAACCAAATTTATGTTTTACTTTTTAAATTTTAATTTCACGGAAAATATATATATAATAATTTTTTAAAAGATTTATTTATTTATACAAGAACCAGGGTACAGGCCAGATGTGTGGGAGGGTGAGAGGATTTACCAGGGACAGAGCGGGGAGCAGAACAGGCAGACTGAATGAAATACACTGCTGAGGGGAGCAGTGGGTGAGACAGGAGAGGTCTGCTGCACCCTGTGGGTGGCTCTGCAGCCAGCAGGGATCTAACGGACTCTGCAGAGGCTGCGGACAGCTTCACAGCGCTGTGCTCAAATACCTGGGCCATCAGGGAGGTCCCTAAAATCATTTTTAAAAATGATTTAAAATATTTAAAATTGTAAAACTGTTTTTAAAAAATAGCTGAGAACCAGGGCCTCCCTGGTGGATGCAGGGGTTAAAGTCTCAGCCCTATCAAGCTATCACCAGCCATGGCATGAGTTCTATCCCAGTCCAGGGAGCTAACCCACATAGCACAGCAGACCTCTTCTGTCTCACCTGCTGCTCTCCTTTGCAGTGTATTTTAGTAGATACTCCTGTTCTGCTCCCCACTCTGTCTCTGGTGAATCCTCTCACCCCTCTGCATGTCTGGCTTACACCCCAGTTCTTGTGTGCATAAACAAACAAAAAAAAAAACTTAAAAAAAAATAATAACTGAGAACCTAAAAAATAAGGCTAAAGTCCACTCTGACCACTATGTATTTTTGCCTTCTCTTCCTCCTCTAGAGCAATTATTGCTGTAAGTTAGATATATGCAACCACTAGACCTTCTAAAATACTTTTATAAATATATACATGTACACAGCACATATATGTAATACTATCTGTGGAGTTTTTATTTTTTTTAAAGATGTATTTATTTATACATACAAGAGCTGGGGTACAGGCCAAAGATGCAGGGGCTGAAAGGATTCACCAGAGACAGAGTAGGGAGTAGAACACGCAGATTGATCGAGGTACACTGCTGAGGGGAGCAGTGGGTGAGTCAGGAGAGGTCTGCTGCACCATGTGGATTGCTCCCTGGCTGGCCAGGGATCGAACTCAGGCTGCAGAGGCTGCGGAATACTCCATAGTGTGGTGCTAAACCCCTTGCGACACCAGGGAGGCCCTATCTGTGGAGTTTTTAAATAAATACACAAATGATATTGTTCTGTGAAATTCACTGTTTTTCCTTTTTCCCAAAAAAAATTTTGTTTTGTTTTGTTTTTCTTTTAGTTGACCTAGAGAGAGACCATTTCCTTCCTATAGGGGGCAGGAATGGGCCCAGTGCAGGTTTTCTATGATCCCAGCAGATGGAATAAAGGAGCAGAGAGTGCTGGAGCCCTGAGTGGCTTTTGCAGGCTTTTTTTGGCATATGCCAGGTACACAGCAGGCAAGGGTGCTGGGGAGCCGGGAGGCTGGCAGGCCTCCCAGCCCCTAGCAAGTCTTCACTCTTTCTGGGCTCTCCGGCGTTCTCTCGGCTTCTCTCGTGGTTCTCCTTTCTCCATTCATTCTGCTTCTGCTGGCTTCCCCGTGAGGCCGGCCCTAAAAGCCCAGTCTTAGCCCAGGTGAATGCCATCTACATATGCCCACACCCTATTCCAGGTGCCTGCCATAAGGCATGCATTCAGGACGGCAGGGTTCTGTCATCTATCCAAATGGTGGGAGGGCAGAAAAGCCTGATACTTTTTTTTTTTTTTAAAGGTTTATTTATTTATTTATACAAGCACTGGGTACAGTCCGAAGCTCAGGAGGGTGAGAGAATTCACCAGAGCCAGAGCGGGGAGCAGAGCAGGCAGAAGGACCGAAGTACACTGCTGAGGGGAGCAGCGGGCAGCAGGAGAGGTCTGCGCGCCATGCAAGACCCTCCTTTGGTGGCCCGGGAGCAGCCGGGGATCGAACCGGCTCTGCAGAGACTTCAGGCAGCTTCTCAACCCAGCGCTCAACAGCTGTGCCACCAGGGAGGCCCTGATACTTTTACCTTACCCTACACTTCCCTTTATTGGATACATAGTATTTCATGATATAAATGTATTACATTTTTACCAGTTTCTTACTAAAGGTTATTTGTATTGTTTTCAATGTTTTATTATTTAAAATGCTGTAATAAACATATTGTTTCAGTATGCACATTGTGAAAGTTTGCAAAAAAGAGCCACAGTTCTTCACCCTCCTAGTATCCATTGCGATGTGATTTTGTAGCTTTTCCCATCAACAAAGTCCATTTCTCTTCTTGAATCTAGGATGACCTTGGACTAATTTGAGCTAATAGAACTCAGCAGACATGACAGTGTGTCAGTTCCAAAGCTAGGCCTCAAGGGACCTTGAATGCTTCTGTTTTCCCTCTCTTAGATCTCTGTTCAGCCACCAGGTGAACAAATCCAGGTCTGCCTGTTGGAGAAAGAGATCTCGCAGCACAGTTGAGCTGTGTCAGCTGACGGCATCCTATACCAGGTAGGTGCCAGCTACCCCACGTGTGGATTGCTGATGATCACTGAGCATGGAGGAAATCAGAACTGCCTAGCTGAGCACAGCCCAAGTTGCCAACCTGGAGAATGGTGGGCTAAATAAATGTTTCCATTCAACGGCAAAAGTCATTTGATTCCATGTGTGCAGATGTTTCTTTACAGTAGTATTCAAACTTTTGAAACTTTCAGATTCAAAATATTATTGGTTTTCAAACTTCAGAATCAGCTGGTGAACTTTTAAAATCACAAAGTGCTAAGTGCCACACAGAGTTTCTGGGTTAGTATATTTGGGTGGGATGCACTTGTCATTCTAACAAGTTCTCAGGTGATGCTAATAATGGTGGTCCAAAGGCCATGCTTTGAAAATCACCACTCTAAAATCTATAACTTAAAAACAGTGTTGTGAATCATGAGTTACAAATATTCTAATAGTTAACAGGTGCTCCCAAGCTGTCACCCAAAATGAATGTACCCTGATCTAAATTTTAAGGGATAAAAGAACAAGACACCCAAATAAAACTTTAAAATCAGATAGTATGGGGAGCAAGTATGCCAAAGAAGTAGGACTGTGAAGGAGTAAGTATTCATTAATTCTTGTGGTTGAAGGTGAAATAGGAAGCTGAATAATAGTAATATTTATGACCTCTGATGTCTGCACACCAAAGCACTGTGTATGAATGATGAAGTAAATTTGAAGTGTTAAACCCAAGAGTAGAAAAGCAGTATTTCATAATACTTAGTATTACAATATAATATATACTACACTGAGATGTAGTGGACTTGTGGCTAGAAGCAGCTCTAGAAGCGTGTCCCTTTTTCCAAAGAAGTAGCAGGGAAGGGAGATAGGTGCCAGATTTTCTGCTGATAGTAGCTTGTCAATTCAAGTCTGTGAACAATCTTTTCTTTTTCTTCCTTCTCCTCTCTCCCTCTCCCATACCTTCCTCCACCTGCAAGGAAGGACGGGATCATATTCTGCATTGGGTATACTGCCCCCATACCTAAGGCCTACTATAATCTTTCAAAAATCATATGTATATTCACATACACCAAAAATATAAACAGAAAATTATAAAATTGAAACAGATGTTTAAGTATTATCAGAATTAACATCATGTCATTGATTGTTTAGTTAGCATTACATCTTTTACATTTTGTAGCAATTTGAGGTTAGATTTTCTTATTGCAAGGGTCTCTAGTTATCTGCAGATCACAGAAATGATAGTAACTGTAAATTACATGAGTTACTCTTGGTTTACATTTTTTCAAGTGCAAAAATTTTTAAATGTTCTACGGCAAAAAAAAAAAAATTTTACTGTAAGGACTGTATATAACTTAATATGTTCGATATGGTGTGGAGTTAAATCTTCAGAAGTAAAAGATCTTAAAAGGGCTTTGGAAATGAAAGGACCTGAGACATGAAGAGTGGAGAAAGGAGACATGAAGAATGGAGATGGGGCAGCACTCGGTCTGCCCACCTGTGACATGGAGGTACTTCCTTTTGCCAACTCTCTCCCTCCGCAGGGCATCAGTCTTCCTGCCTGCCCATGACCTGTACCGAGCTGGGACTTCTCTGATCTCCCTCAGTGGAGGCAGCTCTCCTCAAGGCCGCCGGCCTGCAACCATGCAATCCTCTCTCAGCAAACCTGTCCCTTCTGGGGCAGTTCTTTCTGCCTGCTTGTGTCTAAGCAAGTGTCTTTTACAATTGTCCTATCCCTTTTCTAATAAACCTGCTCTTTAAATAAAAATAAATAAATAAATAAATAATGGAGATGATAAGATGGGGGGAGAGGGAAGCGTTGTGAAGGAAAAGAAGATGCCTGCTGAGCAGCTGCTGTGTGCCAGGCGCTGTTCCAGAACTGAGGATCAACAAGTAAAAGTCAGGGCTTTCCAAAGGGGTCATAGTCTGATAAGGAATCCCCTAAGTTCAAAGAAACGAAGCGTTAAATATTATTTAAGGAGACGTGCACCCTGGGTCAAGGTGTGGTGAGAACTCCCATGGGGATTTGCAAGGCCTTCCTGAGAAGGTGGCACTCGATGGAAGTCGTTGGGGTAAAGAGCGGGGGCAAGATGAAGACTGACCAAGCAAAAGACGAGGCAAAGAGAAACAGGAAGGGGAAGCGCTCGATGCGCTCGGCGCTCTGACCAGCGGGCGTCGACTACTAGAGTCTGGCGCGGCCCCTCCTCCTTCCCGGGCCCCCTCCCCTCGCGCCTCCTCAGCGCCGCTTCCCTCCCCTCCTCGCGCCGCCTCCGCTCGCCGGCCCGAGCGCGCCCCGAGGCTGCCGTCTCGCCAGAGACGCCATGTACCGGCTCCTGTCAGCCGTGACGACCCGGGTCGCGACCCTCGGGGGCTGGGGCTGGGGCTCCGGGCGGCGAGGGACCCACCAGCGAGCGGGGCTGCGGCCGCCGGGTCCCGGCTGGGTTGGGGGCCTGGGGCTGGGGCTGGGGCTGGCGCTCGGGGCGAAGCTGGCCGGGGGGCTGAGGGGCGCGGCCCCCGCGCCGCCCCCCGCGGACCACGACCCGGAGGCGTCGCCTCAGGCCAAGCCCCCGCCGCCCCAGGAGCAGCCCCTCGCCCCGCGGTCTCCACAGACGCCGGCGCCGCTCCCCTCCGGGCGCTTCGCCAGAGCCATCGACAGCAGCCGCGACCTGCTCCACAGGATCAAGGTGCGGCCACAGACCCGGGCCCGGCCCCCGGCCGCGCCGTCGGCCCCGAACGGGACCCCGAGGCGGCCCAGTGAGCCCCACCCCGGGCCATGGATGCCCGCGGTCTGCCTCGGAGAGAGACTTCCCGTTTGCCGGTTGGCTGTCCGGCCTCAGAAGCTCTTGGGCGGTTGCCCAAGTCCGGGCGGAGGTCACCGTCCGCCTCGGGGACCGCCCCTTCCCCGCGGGGTGCCAGCTGGCCACGCCCCCTCGCGGGGCGCGCCGGCCCGGCCGCAGCTGTGGTGGGCGGGGCCTCGCTTAGGGGGCGGGGCCCGGGCCTAGGGGGCGGGGCCGGGGAAGGCCCGAGGGGAAGGCGGTGGGCGTGCGCGTCTCAATTGTGCCTCTGCCCTTTGCTTTTAGGATGAGGTAGGCGCACCCGGCGTAGTGGTTGGAGTCTCTGTAGATGGAAAAGAAGTCTGGTCAGAAGGTGGGCTCAGAAAAATGCTGTTCAGTGGCTTGTTTTGTGCCAGTTATATCTTGATGTTTTCTACTACTTGAAGTGATTCCCATGAAATGGTATTTAGTTTACATAAAGCCATACATAGGGTGGAATAAACGTCTACAAGAATAAAGTATTGGGTTTTCTATAAACAGCCAGGTTTAAAGTGTGACTAATGAATAAATTAAAGCTGGCTTAGTTCTACCCCCACTCTAATATCATGATTGGATTTATTGTTCTGAAAGTTTTATATAGAACAATCTGTTAACTGTAGCTAAGTCTTATGACTTGCTAAAACGTCAGAATTTTGTGGTTTCCTTTTTATCTTAAGATTTATTTATGCATACAGGAAACTGGGTACTGTGGTTTTCTTTTTTAATTCAGTCACCAGTTTACTGATTGCCCTCCTTGTGAAATGCACAGTACTAAGTACTGATGATACACACTGTTCTTTATCCCTTGTCCTTTTATGAATTTACGATTCATTTCTTCCTTTTTTTAACTAGGCAGAGATCTCAGCTATTTATTTTCTAATGAAAAGCTAGAAGTTTTGGGACAGTAATTTTTAGTCATTTTGTAAGTACTTTTATCAAAGCATGCTTTACAACTGGATTTACACAAATTGGCCCGTTCATCCTCCCAGATTTTGAGGAATGTATTTTTTAGGAAATGTTTCAGATATTATTTAAAGAAAGTAATAGTTTTAGAAGTTGATGAGAACTGTAGGGCTTTGAATTTAAAGAAAGGGGATTCTTCTCCCAAGTACAGGTATAGCCTAATCAATCTTAGTGATGAAAAATATTGTAATTACAAATTATTTGTCAGTTTTATGGGTAAGGGCTTTGTTATTATGCAAATATTTTCCAGCATAATCCATATTTACTGTTTAAAAACAATCATTGTACACCTTATCTTTTCGCATCTCAATTCTTTATATCTTAGAATTCCATGCCTTCAACCTATCCAGATGATGAAACCAAACTTTACACTTTTTTTCCTAGGAGGTGATTGAAATTAATTTTTCTTCTGGCTTGCAGGTGAATTAAATTGATGATGGTTAGCTCAATTGGGTTTGCAGGACATCTTTTCACAGTCATTTTTACTGGATTATTATTTTAAGGAACTCCATGGAAATACACTAAAAAACAAGCATAAATATAATTGGAAGAAGAGCCATGATGTGTTCTTTAAAATTGTAGAATTTACTTGAAATGTGGAATAACCAAATTGTTTAGATATGCTAAGAAAAATTAGTGTCTGTGTCAGATGGAAAGTTATTATGCACAGGATACAATTCCATTAAATTATAAGGTTAAACTGTTGAACTTGTCTGTGTTGCTAAGGCTCTTTTACCTGAGCAGTTTTAAAAGCAGAACAAGGGGCCTCCCTGGTGGCGCAAGGGATTAAGCACAGCACTATGAAGCAATCCGCAGCCTCTGCAGCATGAGTTCGATCCCCAGCCAGACAGGGAGCAACCCACATGGCGAGGCAGACCTCTCCCGTGTCGCATGCTGCTCCCCTCAGCAGTGTTTTCCAGCCAGTCTATCTGTTTTGTTCCCCGCTTTGTCTCTGGTGAATCCTCTCACCCCGAGCATCTCTGGCCTTTACCCTAGCTCTTGTATGCATAAATAAATAAATCTTTAAAAAAAAATAAAAGCAGAACAAGATGTTTTAAAGTAGTTTTGTAGCTTTTGAAGACTCCTTTGACCTTTAAACCTTTTAATAGTGACTTTTTGCTTTCTTTTAAATAGGTTTAGGTTATGCTGATGTTGAGAATCGTGTGCCATGCAAGCCAGAGACTGTTATGAGAATTGCCAGTATCAGCAAAAGCCTCACCATGGTTGCTCTTGCCAAATTGTGGGAAGCAGGGAAATTGGATCTTGATATTCCAGTACAACATTATGTTCCTGAATTCCCAGAAAAAGAATATGAAGGTGAAAAGGTAATGGAGCTAACAATTTATTTTACTAATGGCATACTAAATGGCTTTTAAAAGTTCATAAGAATCTTTGGTTGGTTTTTCATTATTGTTAATTGGCTTCTTTCATCTAGATGACAATTAAGTGTGTATTTCTGAAATTTGAGGCTAAAGATCTTTACATGACATTTTTTTTCAGCAGCAGTTTAAAATGGAAATTATTACTGAGAAATTATTCCAATGCTACTAACTTTTTATTATACAGTTTGGTGTTATAAATGATTTTTTACGTCTTTATTATCAGGTTTCTGTCACAACAAGATTATTGATTTCCCATTTAAGTGGAATTCGTCATTATGAAAAGGATATGAAAAAGGTGAAAGAAGAGAAAGCCTATAAAGCCTTGAAAATGACAAAGGGGACAGTGGAATCAGACCAAGAAAAAGAGTTAAAAGAAAAAGGCAAAAGTAATGAAAAGAGTGACTTTTCTAAAGCTAAGATAGAGCAAGATAATGAAACCAAAGGCCGGAATTCAAAACCTGGCAAGAAAAAGAATGATTTTGAACAAGGTGAACTATATTTGAAAGAAAAGTTTGAAAATTCAATTGAATCCCTTAGACTATTTAAAAATGACCCTTTGTTTTTCAAACCTGGTGAGTATTAATTCTTTTTTTTAATGATTTTTTTTTTTTTTTTTGGCCTAGAAGATCTGGGGTGTAGGCCAAAGTTGCGGGGATGGGAGGTTGAAAGGATTCACCAGAGACAGAGTGGGGAGCAGAACAGGCAGATTGACTGAAATACACTGCTGAGGGGAGCAGCAGGTGAGACTGGAGAGGTTTGCTGCCCCATATGTGTACTAGCTCCCTAGCCAGAGATGGAACTCAGGCCCTAGGGGTGATAGCACTGAGACTTAAGCTGTAGGCCACCATTTAAGGGAGGCCCTTAATTCTTTTTCTTAACAAAGTCATTATGGTAGAGTAATTTTCAGAAAATCCAAAATGATACCATCAGGAATGCATTCAATGTGGTTGATAATGGCATGGATTCTGTCATCAGTCTATGGTTGTCATCAGTCTATGGTTCTTAACAAAGCCTAGCATCCGGGCAGCCTCTTGTTCAGATTTACTCATCAGAAGCTACCCAGTCATTTAGTGCATTCTCAGCATCAAAATATTTGTGAAAAAATAATGGGGAAATGTTGGAATAATAGTTCTCCAAATAAAATCTGGACCAAACTGGACATAATAAAACATTGCTAGTATTTTAGGATTTAGTTAGAATTTAAATTAAATTCAAATTGTGCCTTTATTTCTTAAAAAAATTAATGTTCATCAATTTTATTTCCAAAAAAAAGATCTGTAAGATAATTATCATTTTTTGGAATTTCTTTTAGTATGAAACCTGCTAAAACTACTTAGTATCTTTAAATTTACCATCTTTATGTACTTTTATTCCATTTCCATTTTAAAAGTGTGCTATGAATTTGTGTTACATATATATTTAATAAGGGCAAAGGTGTATAATTGTGGATTTTATCTTAAAAAATAAGTTTCCCCCTATTTTTAATACAGATCATATAATTTACTTTTCAGGAATCTAAAGTGGTATTAATTTATGTATTTGAAACAATATAGAGACATACGTGTATACATACATAAAGTATTTTGATATGCATTTGAAACATTTTTATCCCTACGTATATTTTATTAAAATAACATCTACAACTATTTCTTAAATAGTGGATAGTTAACCCAAGCAACCAAATTTGCTTTTCTATCCCTTCTTGTTTTGTTGGCAGTTTGAAGGATTTTTGTTTTGTTTTATGGTAGGATTTATTTGCTTATTATCATAAAAAGGAATAGAGTCATGTGACATTTCAAGAATACTGATCATTTTATTGTTAGGGACATGGAATAAGCAGGGTCTTTGCAAAGTTGACAAAAATTGTTATTAAATAATCCTTGATGTTTTCTTAAATTCTGAAGTAAAATATTCCACTTTTAAGGTATGTCAGTTTACAGTGGGAAAATATTTTACATGTTTTTAAATAATAATGAAGCATTTTCTTTTCTTCCCCCCCTTTACGATGATGTCTCAAGGTAGTCAGTTTTTATATTCAACTTTTGGCTATACCCTACTGGCAGCCATAGTAGAAAGAGCTTCAGGATATAAATATTTGGATTATATGCAGAAAATATTCCATGACTTGGATATGCTGACAACTGTGCAGGAAGAAAATGAGCCAGTGATTTACAATAGAGCAAGGTAAATGAATACCTTCTGGTGTATCTAGCTTTATGACATCTTAACAGTATGTTGTCTATTCACAGTCAAATTTTCCTTGTCTTCATTCCAAAATCAACTCATCACATTTTTGGAACTTTTCTACATGTCTATTTTTTCATCTAAGTAGTTCCTTAGATGAAAGATAGTAATAATAACTTAAGCACATGAATAATTAAACTGAAATTTCATCCCTCGTGGGTATCTATAATGTACTCTTCAGTCATCCCTTATATGTTTTAGCTAATGCTTTCTTTACCTTTTATTGAATTTTAATTGTTTTTAGCTTATTTTGAAATGATTTCATACTTAAAGTTTACAAGAATAGTACATAGAATATATACTCATATACCATTTCCCCAGATTCCACAAATGTTATCATTTTACCACTGTTGACTTAACTACCTGTTATTTTTTTCTGAACCATTTAGAAATAAGTTGTAGGTATTATATCTCTTGGCCCAAAAATTATTTAAATGTGTTTTCTGAAAACAAGGGCATTCAGTAAATTAACTTTGGCACAGTGCTTTTAACAAGTCTAAAGATCTTAGTTAAATTTTGCAAATTATCCAATTATATAGTGAGAAAAAAAGATTTTCTAGTAATTTAAGTTTTTGTTGAGATGATACCTGCCAGGTTTCTCCACTGTAAATGTTTGAAAGTCATTTTATTGAAATGAATCAAACTAAAGTTTTGTCATAATTCTCATTTGTGTTTTGTAGAAGAGGCATGGGAAGAAAATTTTGAGGGTAGTTAACTAATATAAATTTTATGGCTGTGGTGTTTTTCATTTTACTCATTGTTTGGTTTGTTAGACAAATTTAAGAAGCCAATTATTGTTTTTACCTTGCCTATTTCCACTAGTACATATTAAATGGCATAATGGCATTTGAAATAGGTGAAATGGGGAATATTTTTTAGTTTTATCTTACTGTTTTCATAGTAGCTTTCCCCCCCAATCTTCTGTTGTACTTAGATAATTATCATTTTTAAATTACTACCTTATTTAACAGAATTAAATGCATTCAATGGAATTAAATGCAGCCTGAAAGAGACATTTTTGGGATCTAAAAGAAATTAGGTTAGCAGCAAGCAGTGAATTTTAATTTTTTAAATGTCCTGTGATTCGCAACCACCTCAGACTCAGTGTTTGTTCTTTTTAGGTTCAACATTATATTCTATTAGAACCGTAAGAAAAGTAGACAAACACCAAAGGTTATCAATTAAATTTTAAAAGTTTTCTAATACAGATGACATAGATACATCACCTTATTTTGATTAGATGTAGATATTTGATAATGCATGCCTTGTGTGTGTGTGTGTGTGTGTGTGTGAGAGAGAGAGAGAGAGAAAGAGAGAGAGAGAGAACATTGAGTCTCTTTTTTACTGAAATCTATGAATGTACAGACTGCACAGCAGCTATCATTTGCTGCTTAATGAGAGTTTATCATTGTTTCTTAATGAGTGGTTAATTTGACTTACACAAAAATCAATATATAGCATACGACAAGTTACTTTCATTCTGTCTCCAATTCTTTGAAAAAAGGGTGTGGTTTCCATTTATACTGTTAAAGGTTCCTATCATCTCTAGTTTGTTGTGTTTTTTTTTTTTTAGATTTTGGTGTAGTACTCAGTGGTGCTAAAGGGATAGTTTGTTCATTTGAATTAGACTAAATGGGCTGCTGAAATAAAATAGGACAGGGAAGAGAAGGAAACATTGTTACCTAGGAAAATGTTCTATCCATTTCCTTTGATTTTATTTTACTTGATACAATATCTATTTGAGCCTCTAAAACTCTTAATTCTCTCTTTTTTTCTTTTTTGGTAATAATTATTTTAAAAGAGTTGAAAGGCACCAGCTTTTGAGGGGAGAGTTCAGGGAATAAAAGAAATCTTTTTAAAAATTGTATAAAAATTCCCTTTAAGTAAAACTAGTTAACTACATGTATTTTTATTCTTTTTCTTATGGTACCATTTTTCTGGAAATAAAATTTCCAGCAAAAGTTTCCAGCTTTGTTATATAGTCTATTGCCTCCTTGGTCCTAAGCATAAATATGTTGATACTGTTCTGACAAAGGCTTTTCAGAGTTGTTGAATCCCAAAAGTAATTATCATCTTTATCTCTTCACAGTGTGTATGTGTATGTGTGTGTGTTTAAAATAGTGCCTCTCTGTCTGTCACCTATTTAAGGTATTTCCTCAGAATCTCTCTTCAAAATACTATTATGTGTAAATATACTTCTCTGGTCATAGTATTAGCCATAGGCCACACTTTACTGTTAGGGGTGCAGGAAAATTAGTTTTTAACTGGATATATTGTTCTGAATAAATTGGGGTGTTCTTAAGTGGAATAACAGAAATGATTATTTTGCAAAGGCAAATATATAGATTCTGTATAGCAAATATCTTCTGTATAGACAGGTAAATTAAACAATCCTTTAAAGAAAGCATCCACAAGGAAAAATGGAGGTGAATGTTCTAGTCACTGAAAGATTCAGTCTGTTGATAGGGGATTCCTTAGTGCATCTGCTTATGATTAAATTCCTTTCATATTTTCTGTGTTTGGCATAATAGCTGCAACAAAAATCCCTTATAATTGCGTTAGAACAAAAACAAAGCAGGTATTTTCTGAAGTGTTTGCTGTATTTTAACAGTATGGAAATGACCACTAATTTCTATTATCTTTATTATTCTTTATCCTATTTTCTATAGTAAGAGTTTCTGTCTTCCAAAGTCAAGTATTGTTCTTTAAAAAGCTTTTTTTATGCCTTTAACTGACAAGCTCTCCAGTAGTAGGTTCAATTCAAATGTTAAAGCTAAGTGTAAGATGGGATTGTTTTTTATAACATGCCTTTTAAATTCTTTGAATTTTAAAACTTCTTGTAACAATAAAATACCAAGTGGTATATAATTATTTCTAGAGGCATTTAGGAAACATTTCAAAAATAAAAAAGTATTTTGAATTTCTAAGTTTGTAGATGTACAGTTCTGTTATATAATGTTCTTGTGCAGAATCTAGAGATTCTTAAATAAGTAGGTAGAGGCTGATTGTCATCTGGCCTCATTCCATCAGTTATTTAGTCACAAAGTAACTTACCCAAGAACTGATGCTTATGTTCCATTCTTTTTTAAAGCATATCAATTCCTTGAGAATTTGAAATACTGGTTTATTATTTAGCAAAACAAAATATTCTTTATGAAAAGCCATTAGTTTGTCCTCAGTGAAAAGGAATCAAGAGGTTAAAGTCTAGAATCTGCCTATTTAGAGTTTAGAATTCTAGATTAAAGTCTAGGATTTTCCACATTTTTATATTTAATAGCAGAGTGATTGAGGATTCCTAATTTCCAGCTTTGATGTAAGTGGCTTGAAATGCTTAACTATTAAAAGGAAGTTACAGCTTGTTATTTGCTAAACTTTACAGGTAGCTCTCTCCCACTTACAAGCTCAGCGCTCTCTCAAAAAAATAGATTTTTCAATGAAAAAATGTTTCTATTGTTTAGCTTCTTTTAGATTTGATTGGCTGGGATTATAAATGCAATCATAATTGAGGCAGAAAATAATGTGGACTAAAGTATGGGAGTGGCCATAGGAATGGAAGGGAACGGGCCTCCCTGGTGGCAGAGCGGTTGAGTGCTGGGTTGCGAAGCTGCCAGCAGCCTCTGCAGCACCAGTTCGATCCCGGCTGCTCCCCGGCCACCTGAGGAGGGTCCCACATGGCGCACAGACCTCTCCTGCTGCCCCTTGCTCCCCTCAGCAGTGTACTTCAGTCTGCCTGCTCTGCACCCCGCTCTGGCTCTGGTGAATTCTCTCACCCTCCCGTGCTTCTGACTGTACCCAGTGCTTGTATAAATAAATAAAAATAAATCTTTAAAAAAAGAAAAGGAATGGAAGGGAAAAGAATAAGACACAGAGGCTGAATCTGAATAAATGGGATTTAGCATCTTAATGGATATGAGAGTTGAGGCAAAGACAATCAACCAAGATTTAATGGTGAGAACTATGAGAAGGTTTGGAAAAGATTAGTTTCAGACAATCATTTTGAGACATATCAAGTCATTGGTTCTCAAGAGAGCATATTAAGAATCTCTGTAGACTTTTTCTTATTATCTTCAAAGCACATACTTGTGACCAGCCCTGCTGCACCTAATATTATAAGGTGGATTTCTTATTGTCATAAGAAATACTGAAAAAAGAAAGAGAAGTCACTTTTCAAGTAGTATATGCCCATAGCCCCTCCAAAGTTGTGAATTTTGAAGGGAGCATATAACTTGGGGAGGGAGGAGACCTACAGATAATTCTGGTAAACAACTTCCCTGCCATCTCCAAAGCCAAGAAACTATTGATGTTAATGGAAAATTCGATTATAAATTTATAACAGGGTTATTGTACAGATGCAGATTTGTGGTTTTCTCTATAGAAGATAAAACTTAGGAAACTGGAACCTACCGGTGTTTGGAGGGTTAGGGGTAAATCATAGGATTGACATGTGGAAGGGCAAGTTCAGAGCAGAATGGTTTGAGGGAAATGAGTGTCACCCAGGTGCTGGTTGACAGTGCCACAGGGAGCAAATAAGATGAGGACTATAAACAGGGAATTAGAAGATCCTTGATAAGCCACAAGGGAGCTATTTATTAGTAATGGGGGAATAGAAATTAGATTTTAAGAATGAAGTGTGTGCGTGGAAACTCCAAGTGTAGACTATTTTATGTAGTTACTAAGTTAGAAAGAAAGGACTGGTAGCTGGCAACTATAATAAGGGTAAAAAGCTAATTACAAGGTTTTTTTTTCTCCCTTAGGATATGGAAAACTAGAGCATTTTCTAAATTAAAGAGTCCAAGTTACTAGCATGGCACAAAAAGTCTTTTGTGATCTGCCTCCTTGTCCTTCAGCACCACCTGTTGCCACTTATCCTTCAAGTTCTCTTCTTCAAACTGAACTACTTTGCGCCACAACCTGGCCTCTGAAAGGGAGGTTCAGGGACCAGCAGTATTGGCATCACCTGGGAGCTTATTAGAATTGCAGAATTTGGGTCCCTCCCGAGATCCACTGAAGCAGTTTAACAAAATCCCCGGGTGATTCATATAGTACTTGAAATTTAAAACTTTCTGAAAGGACTGTTAACCTCTTGAAAGCAGCCACAGCATGTGGTTTTAATTGTCTCTTTAATGCCCTGTAAGATGTCTCCATTTAATGTTTGGTCAACCAATGATGCTTTATTCATTCAACATGTGTAATATTGACTGGATAGCAAATGCTGCTTTAGATAGGGTAATCATCAGTGACCAAGGCAGATAAAATTCCTGCCCTTATGAAACTTTCCATAGGAAGATATGAATGAACATGTAAACAAACAATTTAAGAACTTTAGGGCAATGGAATGAGTAACAGGAAGAGGTTATGGAGAGAATATTTAAAATATCTTGGATTTAGGCCATGTCAGCTGACCTGAGACATAAATGATAAGGAAAGGTAGCTTGCCTTGTTGCAAATACAGAGATAAGTCTGCCATGAAAAAACAAGGCAAGATGTGTAGGTGAGATCAAAGAGGTAAGCAGGAACTAAATTATAATGGAAAGTGAGTCCCAATGCCATTAGATCCACTGCCCCTTAATTTAACAAATATTTTGTAATATATCCTTTAATATTCTGAAATGTAAGTCATAAGTCATATACTCAGTACTTTATAAAGAAAAAAGGAATATAATTTATGGTAAATAACAAATATTTCAATATTTTAGTTTACTCACAACATTAGAAGACATAGTAAATTAATACCCTAAAGATGCATAGATGCATAGTGATGCAACCTAAGATACTTTAAAGTGTTGTAAACCCAACAACAAAATACAGACCAATACAGGTGTATTCTTTTTTTTAAATAAATTTTATTTTTATATTCCCCATACAATTGCAACCCCCTTATTTTGACCCCAATCCCTCCCCTCCCCACCCCCCACCCCCACTGAGTGTCTCTGGTTCATAGTTTTTTGTTGATTTTGATTTTCACTTTCTTATAGTTATTCATTTTCCTGGTCCCTTATTTAAGTTTTCTAGATTCCTGCTATGAGTGAGACCATCCGGTATTTTTCTTTTTCTTTCTGGCTTATTTCGCTGAGCATGATCCCTTCCAGCGCCATCCATGTTGCTGCAAATTGCATGTAATTATCTTTTTTGAATGCTGAGTAATATTCCATGGTGTATATGTACCACATCTTCTTGATCCAGTCATCTATTTTTGGGCATTTGGGTTGTTTCCAAAGCTTAGCTATTGTAAACAGTGCTGCTATAAACATAGGGGTGCAGGTGCTCTTTGGAATTGATGTTTCTGTGTCCTTTGGGTAAATACCTAGGAGTGGAATTGCTGGATCATATGGAAGCTCTATGTTTAGTAGTTCCAGAAATCTCCACACAGCTCTCCATAGTGGTTGGACCAATTACAGGTGTATTCTATTGGTGCCCCAACTCATGCCCTTGGTGGCCACCTCTGACTAAAGTTTTGAGCAAAATAAAGTGCTTAGTCTTTCTTCATTTTTCACAATGGTCAAATTCCAGGAAAATTTAAAGTAAAAAGTGTGCAAAAAGTACTTTGTGCTTATATATAAAATGGAGAGGGTTCTAGGCTCAGCTAGTTATAGATTTTTTAACTTACAGGAGTACGTGGTGGGAAGGTCTTGCAAGGTATGAGAGAATGCTCCATTATATGGGACTTGCCATACATCACTGGACATTTAGGACAGGTCTACTAAGTGTCAATAAGAGCCCTGTAATAATTGTGACAACTAAAAAATGCCTCCCAAATTTTCCCTTGGGGTGCTGATACTGCCTCAGTAGAGGACCATTGATTGTGTGCAGGTTATGATAAGAAGAAATTCAGGTTTTTGTTTTGTTTTCCTTATATTGGTAATCTTCAGAGGATTTCAAATGGATGGGAGAAGAGGGATACACACTCTCTGGCTTCTGCATGGAAAGTGGACTGCAAGGATATAAAATAACAAGGAAGTATAGCTGGTGGAGAAAGGTTAAAGAGGCAAAAAGGCAGTCAAAGATGCAGGGAGTAGAATTAGTCTTAACAGTAGGGAAGTTTCTTAAATATCAGAGAGAAGGAAAAAAAGAATATATGGAATGCATTTATATCATTGATACAAAGATTAAAATCAAAATCTCTAGCTTTCCTTGCATGACCTCAATCTTTTCAGTAAAACAAAGGAATACTTTATCTGCTGTCTTGGCCTAATGTCCAGGCATGGGAGTGGAAGAGATTGGGAATAGCTATTATGAAGGATATACCAGAGAATAATCAGGAAAAGAATGAAAAGGTGTGATAATAGCAATGAAGACCCTTAGCAAGGGTATGAATTGATAGCAGTCATTTTTGCTATATGAGTTTCTGGAGCCTTTCTTGGAAGATAAGGAACCTAGAAAAGGATGCCTAGATTTGTTCAGGATTGGTAGATTTGGGTAGTGTGAGGTCAGAAGGGAAGAATCCAAAAGTGCTGGTGAGACCACAGCTGAAATAGTTGAAATGGCTGATTCAGGCTTGAACAGACTATCAAATAAAACCAGTGAAAACTGAAAAAGACCTGGGAAAATTGGGCAGAGTTAAGAGGGATAGATGCCATTACAATGAAGGGAGAGAGCAGGTTTATTTTTTGTCATCTTGTGATTTCATTTCTATAGTAATTGTGGTACAGCCACCTTATATTAGAATAGAAACCTCATGAGGTCAGGCACTTGTCTTTTTTGCTTAACATTTTATATCCCAAATAGTGCCTGGCACATAGTAAGCACTCCATCATTAGTTGTTGATGCATGAGTAAATAACAACTGTCATTTATTAAGTACCTATGAAAATATACAGAATGCTTTATACATATATTCCTAACAATGCAATTAGATATTTTTGTCCCCATTTTACAAATTAGAATGCTGAGGCAGATCTGACTGTTCCCCACTTCTTCTATAAATAAATAAAATCTTTAAAAAAAAAAAAAAGAATGCTGAGGCAGTGAGGTAACATTGATTAGGGATGCCAGACCATCTGTGTTTGCATTCAAGTCTGCCACTTACAAGCTCTGTGATTTTTGAATGAGTTCTTTAGACTCTCTGTGCCTCAATTTCCTCATCCATAAAGCAGAGATTATAATAGTATCTCCTGACATTGTTATAGGAATAAATTAGTTAATATTGAACTATAGTTCTTAGGATAATGCCTGACACATAGTAACAACTGTATAGGTGTTTGTTAATCATATAAAATAAGCATGGTTAGTAGGAATGAGTTGGGATTCAAACTGAGGTTTGTTAACTCCAGCTTCTCTCACCAAGAAAGTGCCCCATCATATCATTATATATGGTATTTCTGTGGCGTTTTTAGCTAAGAGATCTAGTCACCTTGGAAATAGTAACCTTGTTCCTAAACTTCCAAACATGTATACTTTTAGTTACAAAATTCACATGTGGTACATGATTCATTAAATTCAAGAGGTAGGAATATCTGCCAAATGATAGGTATTTCTGTGTATGCACAGGGAAAATATTTAATGTGTAATAGTAATCACTACATTTTTGCAGATATTAAAAGTTTGATACTCAAAACATAGGAAATCCATGCCAATAGAAAGACACCCTTCTTTCTATGCTTTCATTCACAAGGTAATTTCAAGTAGCTTTTTCAGTTGTCTGTATTTCATTAGGATCTGCATCAGACTGATAATTAGTGGTTAGTTTCTGAGAATTTATCATCACTTCATTGAAATACAGTCTGTTTCATGTAACACATTTCCTATTCATTTTCATGTATAAAGTCAATAATAGACTATTAAAATTTTAATGACCATTCTTATTTCATTTTAGATTTTATGTTTACAATAAAAAGAGACGCCTTGTGAACACACCTTACGTGGATAACTCCTATAAATGGGCTGGTGGTGGATTTCTGTCTACAGTGGGTGACCTTCTGAAATTTGGGAATGCAATGCTGTATGGTTACCAAGTCGCAATGTTTAAGAACTCAAATGAAAATCTCTTGCCCGGATATCTCAAACCAGAAACAATGGTTATGATTTGGACACCAGTCCCTAATACAGAGATGTCCTGGGATAAAGAGGGTAAATATGCAATGGCATGGGGAGTTGTAGAAAAGAAGCAAACATATGGTTCTTGTAGGAAGCAACGGCATTATGCCTCACATACAGGAGGTGCAGTGGGTGCCAGTAGTGTCCTGCTGGTTCTTCCTGAAGAACTGGATGCAAAAGCGATAAACAACAAGGTTCCCCCAAGAGGAATAGTTGTTTCTATCATATGTAACATGCAATCTGTTGGCCTTAATGGCACTGCTTTAAAGATTGCTCTGGAATTTGATAAAGACAGATCAGACATCCCTGACATCACTGGTGCAAAATGAGCTGTTTTTTTTTTTTCTTTTGAAACATTAAAGTCCCCAAATGCAGGAGATTTTTAAGAATAAATTTGTAACAGAGTATAATTGAATGCATATTATGTACCTCTAATGGCTTAATTTTGTAATTGCCTTTTGTTGTAGGATTCTTTATATACTCAGGGAAGTAACTGTTGTTTTTACTTTTTGAAAAAAGTGTAACTCTTGAAATAAAATGTTCTGGTAAAAGTACATACTTTTTGAATGTGTAATATAGAGAAAATATCATTCAACAGAATTTCCAAATATTCCTTTAATATCACAACAGAAATAAGATTATGACACATGGCATATTAGCTAATATCCATTATAATTTAAAAAAATATTATTTCATGGTTTCTGAGACTTGAGAATTCAGCAGTAGCTTAGCTGGGTGGATCTGGTACAGTCATTTAAGACTTCTCTGTGGCTGGAGGAAATGCTTCCAAAATAGCCCCACTCATGCGATTAGTAGTTAGAATCAGTCCTCTGGCATGTGAGTAGCAGGAAGCCTCAATTTCTCACCATGCAGGCCTCTCTGTAAGATGGCTTGAGTATCTTAATATCATGGTAATGACTTCTCCCAGAGCAAATAATTCAAAAGGGAGAAAGAAACACATATGTGAGCCACACATATCAATGTATTTTATAACCTAGCCTCAGTAGTCACAAACCATCATACCTTCTGTTTTCCCTAGATCACAACTACCACCACTGATAGTATCTTGGAGGGCTTACATAGGATATGCCTGTCTTGAGGTGGACATCAGTGTATGTGTGTGTGTGTGGGGGGGGGAATCATTGTGGAAATTGATTACCACAGTGTGACCTCTGGCCCCAGTGATTCATGTCCTTCCCCACATGCAAAACCTGCCTCCCAAGTCCTCTAAGTCCTCCAGAAATTTCATCTCTTTAAGTCCCTTGAATATAGTTCCTCAAATATAACAACTCAAGTATAGCCCTCTTGATCTGAAAACCTGTAAACTGAAGTCATTTTCTCACCACATGTGTAACATACAGTGACATGACATATAAAGGATCATTGCTATATACCCTCCTGTTTGGAAAGTGGGAAGTAGAAGACATGAAGGAGTCAGCAATTTGAAATCTAACTAGAAAGAGACTGGCAGTTCCTTGATTCACTCAAGACTTGTGAATAATAGGAAGTCTTGACTCTTGGCCATGTCCTCTGGCCTCTTGGTTTTGTCCTCTGAGTTATTCTTTTTTTCTTGAAAAATAGTACACATTTGCAGGTGAGTAGTTTTATCAGACCCCTTTTTGCTTGTAGAATTTTAAAGGTCCAAGGGTTTCTTTTGTACTCGCTCTCCTTTCGGTCTAAGTTAGCAGTGTTTCTTCCAATATAATTGTTTAAATTTTGTGAGTTTTCTACAAATCTCATTGGAGTTCTGGCTAATAAACAGAAGTCATACCCAAAACTCTCTTCAAAGTAAGCCCCTTCTAAGTTGGTATTCTCCTGAGACAACTGGATAAAACACTATTAA